TTCCAAAAGTAGAATCCTCAAATATTCCATCCTTAAATAAAATCCAAACTTCTTCAACTGATATTGAAGATGACACCAAATTGCGTACTATCGATAATATTGATGATAAAAATTCAATTGAAAACACATATATTCCAAAAGTAGAACTCTCAAATATTTCATCCTTAAATAAAATCGAAACTTCTTCAACCGATAGTAAAGATGACACCAAAACGCATTATATCGATAATTTTGATGATAAAAATTCAATTGAAAACACTGATATTCCAAAAGTAGAATCCTCAAATATTCCATCCTTAAATAAAATCCAAACTTCTTCAACTGATATTGAAGATGACACCACATTGCGTTCTATCGATAATATTGATGATAAAAATTCAATTGAAAACACTGATATTCCAAAAGTAGAATCCTCAAATATTCCATCCTTAAATAAAATCCAAACTTCTTCAACTGATATTGAAGATGACACCACATTGCGTTCTATCGATAATATTGATGATAAAAATTCAATTGAAAACACTGATATTCCAAAAGTAGAATCCTCAAATATTCCATCCTTTAATAAAATGGAAGCCGCTTCAACCGATATTAAAGATGACATCAAATCGCGTTTAATTGATATTGTTGATGATAAAAATTCAATTGAAAACACATATATTCCAAAAGTAGAAACCTCAAATATTCCATCCTTAAACAAACTCGAAACTTCTTCAACCGATATTAAAGATGACACCAAATCGCGTTCAATTGATAATATTGAAGATAAAAATTCAATTGAAAAAACTGATATTCCAAAAGTAGATTCCACTAATATTCCATCCATAAATAAAATGGAAGCTTCTTCAACCAATATTGAAGATGACACCAAATCGCGTTCAATTCATAATATTGATGATAAAAATTCAATTGAAATAACTGATATTCCAAAAGTAGACTCCTCAAATATTCCATCCTTAAATAAAATGGAAGCTTCTTCGACCGATATTGAAGATGACACCAAATCACGTTCAATCAATAATCTTGATGATAAAAATTCAATTGAAAACACTGATATTCCAAAAGTAGAATCCTCAAATATTCCATCCTTTAATAAAATGGAAGCCGCTTCAACCGATATTAAAGATGACATCAAATCGCGTTTAATTAATATTGTTGATGATAAAAATTCAATTGAAAACACATATATTCCAAAAGTACAAACCTCAAATATTCCATCATTAAACAAACTCGAAACTTCTTCAACCGATATTAAAGATGACACCAAATCGCGTTCAATTGATTATATTGATGATAAAAAT